TCATTGACTATTCAACCACGGATTGATAATCAATATTTTATTGACAATTCAACCGTGAATCGATAATTAATATTTCATTGACTATTCAACCATGGATTGATAATCAATATTTCATTGGCAAATCAATACTTCATTGGCAAATCAACCAGGGATTGATAATCAATATTTCATTGACAAATCAACCATGGATTGATATTCAATATTTCACTGACAAATCGACCATGGATTGTTAACTCGATATTTCATTGACAAATCAACCAGGGATTGATAATCAATATTTCATTGACAAATCAACCATGGATTGTTAACTCGATATTTCATTGACTTTTCAACCATGGATTGATAATCAATATTTCATTGACTATTCAACCGTTGTTTGATAATTAATATTTCATTGACTATTCAACCATGAATCTATAATCAATATTTCATTGACTATTCAACCATGGATTGATAATCAATATTTCATTGACAAATCAACCATGGATTGATAATCAATATTTCATTGACTATTCAACCACGGATTGATAATCAATATTTTATTGACTATTCAACCGTGGTTCGATAATTAATATTTCATTGACTGTTTAATGGTGGATCTATAATCAATAATTCTTTGTTCAATAAACTATTGAACTGCAAATAATTAATGTTTGCAGCAACATTCTTGATTTTGCCTATCTTCAACCACTGCAGCTGTCAAATTCCATTTCAAATTAGTGATAAATGCGGTCAAAGTAGTTTTGCAGTTGTTATTTAGAGACAACTTTTGACAATTTGCCAACATTTTTTATTTATTTATTCATTTATTTTTTGACTGAGCAGTATTGACCCAGAGTCAGTCACCTGGGTCGCTAGGAAAACTTGCTACTCGAAAACATACATGTTTTCAAAATCCCCAGTGAGACATAATAAGGTGGGTAACATCAAAGTACATTCACTTACGGCTGAACTACGTTAGGTTGACCTAAAAAATATAATTCCATATCCTCATAAATAAAATTTAGGAAAATAAATGTTCTCATAAATAAATTGATGACAGCTAGTATATAAAAAAATATTTATTTAGACAACAAATGTGACTTATTGTGCAGCTGTCAGATATGCTTGTGATGAAAGCAATGTTACGTAATTACTTAAGACTGATATTAGGTCTGTGTAATTCAATTAGACACTGTAGTATAAGATCTCCTTACTTTAAGCAAGCTTTCACTTCACACAAGAAACATTAATCCAAATTTAGTAATTGTTTGACACAGATGTACTTAAGATATATTCTTCAAATACAATATATAAAAAAAAAATTAATTAATAAAAATAATTGTATATATTCAAATGAAAATTATTGTTAATTTTGTTTTAGATCAGACATTTATTAGTTACATAAGTACTGTTTACCCTTTTTTGCAAAGCACACAATGGGAGTCTTTGCAGTTACTGTAAAATGACTAATTTTCACTGGGCTTAAATTTCACTGATTTAGCATTTCAGGCATATTCAGTGGGTTTTAAATTCACGGTTTTATCATAGATAATGTGTTCTATGCTCAATTTTACATATTCACTGGGTTTTAATTTAGCGCAGTCAGCGAAATAAGCAAAATTAAAACCCAGTGCATAATTAATCCTTTTACATGTATGTGTGTATGCATTTGTGTATGTTTTACTGATATCTCAAGAACCAATCATTGCATTTCAAGGGAAATTGACTGATATCTGTCTGGATGCAATATGTGTAAATGTGATCAGTTTTTGCTTGAAATCTGTGTATACCAATTACTTGTATTAATTGTTTAATAATTAGCCATTTTTTAGCTTTCCTGCAATTATATCAAGAACTAATTGACACTTGGTACATGTGTGCTCTGGGTTTAGGGTTGAAACTGTGCATATTAATTATCTAATTTACATAAATTAGCAAGTTTTTAGGGGGTTTTCCTTCAAAGATATCACAAGTACATGTACCATTAAATGTCATTAAAACTTGCTCCAGGGGTAATCCACAGATTAGGCTTTAAATCCATGCATAAATTTGTACCAATTTTCCAATTTCTCAGAAAACATAAGTGCATAGGTGCTCTGCAAATCAGAGATGTATACAATGAAATAAATTTATTCCTATTGCTTTAATGAGGGTTTTGTGTTAGTATTACAATACTGTGGATCACATTGCAAAGTTGTATTAATCACAACGCTTCATGTTTAAAAAGCTAATCTTAAATTATCTTAAATTTTGAATTAAGTTTGAATATTTATTATAATAAAATTACTGAGAGCACACGGCTTTTTTTGATTTATTTTTTCTCACAAAAATGCTGATGCAATATTTTGAACATTTTTATGTACTTTTTTACAAGTTTTTTTTTAAATTTGGCCGTAAGATTGTAAGTTTTGACCAAAGGTTTTTAAATTTTTTTTTTGATAAATGGTAAAAATAGACATTGACGCTGTTCAAAATATAAATAATCATAATTACTCTTACATAATGAGACTTGTGATTTGATATTACATGTCTTTCAAAAGGTATAATTTACGCACTATCAGTAATTGTACAACGATGCATTAGTTTGATTTGATTTATTCACCAGAATTTAATAAAAATGTGCATTTATTGCATGTAGCTTATGTGTAAAGCTCATTACACATACCTATAACTATAACTTGTCATATGATGTATACGCTAATATAGTTAAATTCATTTTCTGTGATAACTGACAACTTCAGGGTTATACTTTCTGTTTTATTGATGAATAAAAAAGTTATTGCAAAAACTGCATACTGTATGTGTAACTCGCTTTTGTGGCATACTTTCACAGCTGATGTGCGCCCTCTACTGGCTATTCAATTATACTGTAAAACACTTTGTAATAGCTACGAACCATTTTAGTGAATTTGACGCAATGCATAAATTAACTGAATCTTAATTTAGCTAAAGTGACAATAATCTTACTGTGAGAATATACTCTATTCTAATTAGCAACATCTTAAATTAGCGAAATTGTGGATTAGTGAATATATAATATTTATTACCGATAATAGCTAAAATAACATGCTAGCTAAAAAGACATGTTGTATTCTTCTTGTAAGTGTTCACAAATTTTCGAAATATTGACACCTTATGGAAATTTGTTTAAATTGGAAATACCTGACTAATAAATAGGAAGGAATGAACAGAAAAAAGTGTCATTCAAAGTCCAGAATTGTTGCCTGATATTTTTAAACAAATATTTCTCTTATGAGATTATGTCCAAAATAAATGCAATGTCTGAATCATGTGATCACTAAATGTTTTCATACTAAATTTTTTTGTGTAGTTGTTTCCAAGTATTTTTCTATAATTTTGACATGAGTTGACTTTGACCAAAAGATTAAATAAAACTTTGTTTGAAAATTTGTTTTATTTTTTATGAAATCAATTTTTTTGAGGATCACAAAAAAAGACGGTGGAAAGACTCAGCATAGTAAAATGACCGTTACAGCCAATACAATGGTGCATGGCGCTAGCACTGATTACAGTGAAACATAAAAATGATAAAATTTGTGGTTATTGGTAGTTAAAAGATAAATATATCAAACCAAGTTTTTCATTTCCTGTCAGTATCAGTCGTCTCTGTGGTTACCCCTGATTAACACATTTTCTGCATTTCACAGTCACATGATATCATGATAACAACCTGTCTCTATGGTGACAGATACGTTTTTTTTTTATGAGCAGCTTCATTTCCTGGGCCATTGCAGTTTAAATAAAAAGTGGTCGCAAAACACTTTTTTATTTTCATCTCGTTGTACCATACAGGTTTTTTTTTAAGTTTTGCTCCAAGGTCATTAGTTTCTCTTTGTAAACATCAAAGTATCAACTGTTTGTAAGCCATCACTATTTATGCCAACAAGATTATATAATATTAAATTTAATATTAGACCAAATACACGTAATTATTCATTGGATCAATTCTATAAACCACGCTGAATAGTTTTTTATGTGAACGATGAATTCTTTATTTAATTTGCTGAGCAAAATTTTTTGTGAATGACATGGTTTCCATATTTTTTGAGATGTGGTTGAGCCACTATTACTTTTTTATTTTGTTGTTAAAATACCGTAATTTTATTTTCCATCAAAGACATAATATCCCCCTCCATCTGTCACATGGTGAATTAAAATTGTCATTTGCACTTCTTTTCGAGGGGGGTGCTCACCCCGAGAAAATCTTGATTTTCTGAGTTGAGGATGCAGTCCAGTACGGTATATAAAATAATTTATAGCCAATGCCTTTTAGTCATTATATTTAAAGAGAGAGTTTAATTGACCAATGTAAGGAGGGCAACAATTCTTCTTGTACTTTGAAATTCCAAAATTTAGACTGTTATATTTTTATTACAAGTTCCTTTGATATTCCTAATGTTTACTCTCCCAAACCATCACATAGAGCAGCAATTAAATAATTCTGTTGAACTTTTCTAGTAGTCACCATCTTGAACAGTTTGTTGCATAGCAACGGTTCATACAGGTGGCAATTGATGGTTTTTTCAAGCTTCATTGGACTGCATGCATCGTATCTTCATGAAATAAACACATCATTGCTCTGTTGATATTTAGCACTAAATTATTGCGAATTCCTAAACATTTAAGTTAAAGGGTGATAACAAGTGATAACACTGTGAGAACTGGTATCTTAAGAATGCGTAATATAGATAGTCTTTGAGTGCTGTGTACGTGAGAAACTTTGAGGAGAATATTATGGTAGTTTTTCATTGAATTCCATTAGCCAATATGACAACACATATTGAAGGCATAGCTCTCTTGTATATGCATGTATAATGTCAGTGTTTGGCTGCTTAGTCTGTTTCTATGGTGATTCGGCATTAAAATCAAAAACGATGATGTTAAATAATGTTTGATATATTTTCCATATCTATTGGAACAATTTTAACTACTGAACTATAGAGGGCGCTGTCATTTCAGTTGTAACAAATTAAGTTAAATATTGATCTTTATAAAAAATGAAGAGGTAATTCACATACATTGAAATCAAAATAAAATTGCAGACGAAAAACTGTTTACAGAAATAATAATAAAAAACAGTTTCTAGTCATTGTCTTGGACTCAAAATTGATAAAACATGGTTTCCTTGTAGAGAGATTTTATATTTTACTCTTTAACTTTGCAGTCAAGAAGAAGCTCAGAATATAGACATTGAACTGTTCACGGAATACCAGTATAGCGTTGACCAGTTGATGGAGCTTGCTGGATATAGCTGTGCAGTGTCCATAGCCAAGGCATACCCAGTCAATTCACTATCTAAAAGTGGTGGAACAGTGCTATTATGTGTAGGACCTGGCAATAATGGCGGAGATGGATTGGTCTGTGCCCGGCATCTCAAGATGTTTGTAAGTCAATTAATTGTTTACTCCAAAATTTGCTTTCACTCGGTGAAACCACCAAACTGTTGTCGTCTCACAGGAATCAGTTTATAGCACACTGCGTCGAATCAAAACATATATTAATTTTACTAATTAACTGTCTGCGTTCTATATTATAGGGATATCAGCCTTCTATATTTTATCCTAAACGACCAGATAAACCTTTGTACAAGAATCTATCTCATCAGTGTGCAGCCCTGGATATTCCATTCCTGTCGTACCTACCGAATAGTCAGCTTATAAATGAATCGTACAATTTTGTGGTGGATGCCATATTTGGATTTAGTTTTAAGGGTGAAATACGAGCGCCATTCGGTGACGTCCTTAAAACTTTAAAAGAAATCAAGATACCACTGTGCAGCATTGATGTTCCATCAGGTGAGCTCATCGTCTATTATATCGCGTTATCTCAGGCTAAAAATAATTCCTGTTGACTGTGTTGAGTCTGGGTCCTACATGTATGCAGTTTGGATTTGTCTTGTGCACCACTGTGCCATGTATTTTTTTCTGTGGGGTCGCCGCGAGCTGCTTTTGAACGCCATCCGAAGACCTGGGGAAAACAGTAAAATCAAAAATTTTGAAGTAATCCTGTGCAACCAAATTTATATACCAGTATGTTGGACATGCATGGGTTATCTTGTTACACTGTTTCAACAACTATCCCAAAGTACAGTTTTCTGAGAGTTTTTGGCCTTTGTTTTCATTGTGATGGTTGCTAGGCGATGACGATTCCCAGATGTCCGATCTTGAGAATATCCATGTTTTGAGATTTAAAATGTCGCAATATACATAAGAGGAAATATATCACCAACAACCAGAATAACAACATGCACCAGCAACCATTACACAAACCTAATGATTCAATGATTTGCACCAAACATTAGGGAGATTGTGGGCTTGACTTCCATGGTCGGCTGCCAACTCAGCAGTGATAAGAACTTTCCAGCAGAATTCGTGGTTGGGAAAATGGCATCCAGTTAGTTTTGTGTAATGTTTCTGTCCTCAGTGCACATAAAAAATGACAGTATCTTACCCTAAAAATCTACCTTGTGGAAGATAGAATGAACTAAAATAATATATGCATAATTGAAGAATATCAAAAATAACATAAAATACAAGTCTCTGACATGTTGTGAGGGACTTCATAAAAACTCCATACAATCAGCTGACTTTAAGTCCTAAATTGTCAAATTATATAGCTTAAATTTGATATTATTAATTATTGACTCCTGTGTCTGTTCCACTGATATCTCAAGAACCATTGGATTTTAATGAAAATTTTAAAGAGAACTATGCAGATACCCAATTAGTTTTGGTAAATATTTATGCCTATTAATCACCTAATTAACATAATTAACACTGATAATCACATTTGAATAAAATTTGGTACATAAATGCTCTAGGACAATAGACAAGGCTGATTAATTTGGGGTTAAAATTTATTAGTCCCCGTTCGGACGTAGTCCAAAAACGGGGACTTATGTTTTGCCCTGTGTGTGTCCGTCCTTTCGTGCGTCCGTGATCACCTGTATCTCGAACATGCATGGACCGATTAAGTTCAAACTTCACT